TGCAATGCTGTGCTTTTATATTTATGGTATGAACACACTGTTGTGTGGGAGGGCCAAATGAGTACTTTGTCTTCATCCTACTTACAAATTGTAATTGCTTAAGTGGGGTAATGCAGAAAGTCTGTTTAATGACCCTCTTATGTTTGATTTCAGTAAATATTCAGTAAACACATTCTGAAAATATCTTTCCTGGTATTTGCTGTTCCTGGCCTGTTGCTACTCTTACTACTGTTTCCACAACAAGCAGAGTTAATTTCACATGGATATTCATTTTTATGAATTAATTTGTCTGAAATATTTTTGCTTTCATCTAACATTAATACCATAAGGTTTTGATGTTTTTTTCTTTTCTTTCTTTTTTTTTTAAGACCATCTGACAGCTCTTTAGCAGGTGATTCAAACCAGTTTTTCTTGTCACTTATTAACAGCTTGGGTAACAAGTTTTGGGAAAAGTAGAAACTGCAATTCAGTGTAATATTTTTTTCATTGTTGAAGGGTAAGATGACAAGAATTCCAATCCACAGTCTTAAAAAAATTTGGCCAATTATTTCTACTAACACAAGCCTACCAAGTAAAACACGCAATGGAGGAGTTTCTAAAATAGTGAAAGAGGGGAGAGCAAGCTTGACTGATGTTTACTGAGCACCATGTGCTGCGCAAAGTGCTATACTCGTATGAGGCATTGATGGTCAAAAATTACAGGTGGTAAGCGATTCTTTCACAGCTTCCTTCTGAACGACCTGTGCATTAAGTAGAGGAAGAACTGGTATGGAGGCGAGGAACCTAAGATCATTCCCATGTTAGCTAAGCTAGCCTCTTGAGTGGTAATTTCCATTGACTGTTCAACACTGTCATTTCTCCACTTGCTCAGTCCTCTTCCAATTCTTCCTTTCTCCCCTTTCCATGCCCCATTCAAACTCTGGAGGGGAAAGAGTGATCTCCTTTGGTAGAGATCTCCTTAAAGGAAGGGGAATTTGTGAATCATTACAAATTCAACTATTACTTGGCCTCCAAGACAGGGACTAACAGGATAGGTACATGAGGAAACCTCAGAACAGCTGAGCTTTATCCTAAGGAAGATCAGTGACAAATATTAAATTATAACTTTAAAAAAATCCCTACCTTCCTTTTCTGTATTCTGCAGCTAGCTCAGATGCCTAAGAGCCCAATTCTAATTCTAACTTCTTGTGCACACTTTGGCCTGCTCCTGTATTTCTTGATTCAGAGAATGGCGCCACCACTCACTTCCAACTGGTGGTGATGATGACCAGACTTCTGGCTTGCGTGAGTGGGTATTGCTATTGAGGAGTCCAGTTCTATTCTGACTCCAGATCCTTTTATTGTAATTAACCTGATTCATCACTCTGAAGGTTTGGTGTCTTCCCTCTTTCCATTGTGTTCACTTATCCTGACAGGTACTCAAGTGAGCCTTTCAAACAGACTCAGTTCTGAGTTCTTCAGTTTTGAAAAATTCTATTGATTTATTCCTTCAATAATTCTCTGCCTTCTATTTTTTTT